GCCTAAGGCATCTGACTGCTAACCAGAAGGTTGGTGGTTCAAACTCAACATCCACTCCACAGAAGGAAGATGGGGCAATCTACTTCCATAAAGAGTTACCACCTCAGAAACCCAGTGGGGGTCACTATGAATTGGAAGCAACTCAGTGGCAGTGAGTTTGTTTTTTTTAATTTTTTATTATTTTGGAACCTTTATGGGACCAGATTCCAGGTCTGTCCTCAGTGTAGCCACAGGGTGATTTTTAACAGAAAAAAATCACTGATAATCCAATGAGTCACCTTAGCTTTTCCCATTATTTTTTTCTGCCCAACTATAACTACATGGGAGCTCTGGTGGTGTAGTGTCTAAGGCATCTGACTGCTAACCAGCAGGCTGACAGTTCAAACCCACCAGCCACTGCTCAGAAGGAAGATGGGGCAATCTACTTCAGTAGTGATACTGCCTCGGAAACCCAAGGAGGGGTCACTATGAGTCAGATGTGACTCGACTACATGGACAGAAGTCAAATGGTAACTGCCCACGAGGCGATGGTGGGTCACGGGGTCATCAGTAATTGTTTTCTCTGCACTGTCCCGTCTTCTCCGCATTTCCTACACCCAGCATGGAGCCACGTCAGTCATCACAGTCCAGCAGAGAGCAGGACCTGGGACCCCCCCACCAAGGTGACGTCCAGCCTGCAGCATTTCCCGGCTGGGGAAACAGTAAAGGGACAGGGAGGGCAGCCGCCGGCAGTGATATCTGTCCCCCGGCTGCGGAGGGGCTGTGACTCTGGCCTCAAAGTGTGACTTTGAGGACGGCAACTCAGGGTTGGATTCTGCACACACATCCTGGACCCCTGGGACCTGCCGGCTCTAGCAGGGGAGGGAAAGGGGCACTTGGTGAGCCGGGGAAGGCCCCCCACCACACACCCCTCCTTCCTGCCTCTGCAGCCCCCACAAGGTCTTTACCTGTCTGACCACACAGCAGGCCCTGTTTTGCCCCAAGGTCCCCTGAGGGTCCCCATCCCCTCTGATGGTGGCAGGCACCATATACCTTCTTCCCACCCCAGCCATCCCTAGCCTCCTGCTTTCACGCAGCAAACCCTACAGAGCACATTTCTCAGGCCCCTGGGCCCCTTGGCCGGGCCAGGCCAGGCCATACCCCAGGATCCCCTGGGCCCCACGT